AGGAGGAAATGCAACACGTCAGTAACACCTCCCAACACCTCCGTTACCCTCGCGCCCTCCTCGCCCACCTCCAACGCAAGGCAGAGAAGATCTTCACCAGATCAAAAGGGAATGCCACACACAATAAGACTTATCATCCCACACTCGCAGCTGACGCAACACCTGGAGGCCTTGTTGGGCCACAGATGAAGATAGCCACTGCGTCTGGTAAGAAGATCGGAGATATCGTAAGGGAAAAGGGGTCAGACCACAACAGACCTCTTAGCCAGGTGTACAGCTTACCTTGCGGCGGCTAAGATAAAGTTTGCAGAGGTGACACAGGACGAGGCCGCCCTCCGACATGACAACAGGAGCGCCTTCGTTGTTTACGTCAACACCGAAGGCCATCTCCCTAAGTGGTCCCAGTCCTCCATGAAACAAGGCCTGCCCCCACGACAAAGAAATAAGCTAGAAGCGGCATACATACACTCTACTAACAACTTCAACACCGCAACGGGGAGTCACGAACTAGCTAAACAAGTCGCTCACCTGATCACCGCCAAGTACATGTGTATATATACTTTTATGTATCTCTTGTTCTGAGACTCCGGGCTAGTACAGTGGTAACGTGTCGGCCTCTCATCCGAGGGGTCGGTGGTCGGTTCGCGCCCCGCCCAGGCGCGAGAAGTTGCAATCGTCGCCTGGAGGTTACTGCTGTGGCTGGGCACCACGGTGGGTAAGGACTAAGCACATCCGAGTCAGCACTAGCTTGACACTGTAAGCTAGTCGACATTAGTCGGCATAGGCCGGGCGAGGCTCTGCTTCGCATATCAGACTTATCTTGTTCTGTATGCCCCGATGAAGCAATGAATGCGAAAAGGCCTTCGGCATATTAGTGTGTTTTCCTGTACTTCCCTTCACTGTTCTACTTGCACATGTGTGTGTGTATAAATGTGTATATATATGTATGCATATCTTTATGTATATATTTATATACATACTACTACTGTTTCTGCAGTGCTGGTCTTATGACGTTGGTGATCATGGCACGGCATCCCTCTCGACCTGTCATTCTTACAGTCCCTGCTACACTTCTCCTTCCGCCCATAAACTCTAACAAACTGTCCATTCACTTCTTTCTGTCTGGCTCATGCTCTCTTGCCATCCTTCTTCCCCATCATGCAGTCATATTCTGTATCCTTTGCTCGTACCACATACCCCCCGAATTTCATTTGTATCTTGTCTATTTCGTTCGTGAGCAGGGCTTGCTCTTTTTACACCAGCTCTTCTTAAACCTTCATTCGTGGCTCTTGCGGTCCAGGGGATTCTTCCGAGACACAGTTCGAGTTTGAGTTTCTTCAGCTTCCCAGCCATACAGCTGGGTGATCCTATTGTTTAATCCCATGCTCATATTTGTGGTCAGCTTATTAAAAAAAAAGAAAAAAAAAACAATATATTTCTACCCTCAGATGTTCCTTACTTCGAGTAATTCCCGTAACTTCATTTTGTTTAAGTTTATTTTGAGTCCTCTTCTTACGCATGCTGTGTTTAGTCTATTAGTTGTAATTTTTCTTGCGTGTCTTATATCAATACGGTATCATCTGCATACCTAAGGTTATTTATCTTCCCCAATTGTAACCTTCATGCATTGTTCCTGGGATATTTCTTCACATTAACTTTTTGTCTTATTCTATTCTAATTTATTTTCTATATCATTTTTCTACGTTGGCTCATGATACTAATTGATCTGTGTCTAGTGCATTTTGCAGTTCCTACTTTTTTTCTTTTTTTTTATCTTTTTGAGGGTGGGGTAAAGTAATGAAAATCTATGCTTTCTTTTTCTGGTATATATCCTTTCTTGTGTATCTGCTTTATTAGTTCGGTTATCCTTTGTATCGATGTGACCCTGCAGCATTTAACATTTCTACAGCTATTCCGTCACTTCCCGAGGCTCACGCTTTTCAACCCCTTATGGCGTGCTCTATTTCCTCCTGTAGTATCCTGGGTCCTTCAAGTTCACCCTCAAATTCTGGTTTTCCTCCACTTTCATCATCATATAGTTTACTGACATATTACATCCATCTTTCCATCACGACTTTCTTCTCCAGTAGGATATTTGCATCTTTATCCTTGATTGTTGAAGTTCACTCTTTCTAGTTGTTCCACCTCTTCACAAACTGATTTTTCGCAGTCTTTCTTTCTTTCGTGACACTTCGTTTTCCATTCAATCTTACACACATCTCTTGGTTTCCTTTTATTTTTCTCCTTTCATCTTTTGTATGTAAAACTTCTTCATTGACCCATATTGTCTCCCTCGTCTTTGTTAATCTACCAGATTTTTTTTTTTTTTTTTTCAACCAAAGTCTTCTTTTTTAATAGATTTCCACTCAACTTCTATGGCGTGTCCAATTTGTTAATTTTTTGTTTCTTCTACTTTAAGGCTTGGTATTTGTTTTGAACTTGCACTGTGTATCTATCCCGAATAATCGGTACATTCATCCTTTGGAGATCTTTTTCTATT